CCTAGCTAACTTCCTGCCCTTTGGGCAGGGGCTGGACCCGATGATCTTACGAGGTCCCTTCCAGCCCTAATGTCTATGAAATCTATGAAAATCCTGCAGTGAGCTGTCAGAGCTGCACAGAGATCCAGTCCCCTTCAGCAGCAGGACAGAGGCTCTGCAGATGCTTCCCAACCTTTTGCGACTTGCCCCAAGCTTGATCCCTTTATAACCACAAGATCCCCTCACCAAAGCTGCTGCCACGGGGGGCCCTGAGACTCAGCAGACTCATTGCATGTACAGAGCACCTACAGGGAATGAGCAGGCAGTGCTTTGAAACCCCAGCCACGTTCTGCCCAGGAAGACCCCTGTGACCCACCCTCAAACCCACCCACAAGTCTCCTGGCCCCCCTCAGAGCCACCCGACCATGAACTGCCCTTTCTGCCCATACTTGGCCACATCCCTGGACTCCCCTTTGCCCCAGTTGGCTGTGACACCGGGGACACCTGTCTTGCCTACTCTAGCCTCCATGCAACCAGACTGAGAGCTGGATGCAGCGGGCATGCCAGCTGTGGCTCAGCCCATTCAGCTCTGCTATGCAGGAGTATCAGCTACCAGCTGGGTGAGCCATTCTCCATGCCCGCAGAGCATGGCGTGCAAAGTTCACAGCATCCTCCCTTGCGTATGCTCTGTGGGCCACGTCAATGCTCCACCCCAATGCAATTTCTGGTGAAACTTTCCAGGGGGAAACTGAGGCACAGAGGTGAAGGGGACACCAAGGTTACATGGACAAGGGGAAATACAATCAGGACCTGGCGCAAACCCCATGGCTTGGAGCTGCTTGTCCTGAATTCAGCCCTTGTTGTTCTGGCTGGCTGAAGCCTTCTAGGAGAGTTTATTATTATTATTATTATTCCCATATTTTCTCACATACAGCACAGCCTGGAATAAGAGATGACCTTGCTTTGGAAAGGCAGCATGAAGAAAGGAAGATTTTTTTTGTAGTAATTAACTGAGCCTGCTCACCTTGTTCTGCTTCCTATAGATTATGTGCAAAGTTACTGTGCAGCCCTATAGCAGCAGACACTGCTGTTACCGTATTTCCTGATTGATAGCACTCACCTCCATTCCCAGCAGCTGGTTTTTGAGAAAATGGTGTGTGTTGTATGCAAGAAAATACAGTTGATCTGGTTGAACAAGGGCAGCTGACAGGGTGAGCGCAGCTGTATCAGGTCAGTGCGTCCTCCTAACTGCTTCCCACAATGCAGTTCCATAAATTACCCACAAGCCCCCACTCCAAGACACCAAAATGGGTTGGACCATTCACCCCAGAGTGCACTGGGGCAGCTGTACAAAAACAGATGCTGCAGAACCAGCTCTGATGTGTAGCCTTTGCTGAACTGTTGCAAAGCCAAGGGACGCAACGAAGCTGTTGCTGGCTGTCCATGTCCCTGCAGCTGTTTAGCTGCCCTAGTGTAGGCAGGTCTCCCGAGTCCTGACTTCCAGATCCTTTTCTGTCCACACAGGGCTGGCTACTTTGGTTTCAAGCTGGGGATAACACAAATGACAATGTGAAGATCGTGGGATTACTGAGTGACACCTAGCTAGGGGACACCTTATCACTGCTACGTGCATAGTCCTTCCTAGAAGTCAGAGTCCTCCAACAATCTCTCAGTGGCTCATGTGCCACAATCTCAATTCAGTTCATTATCAGAAAAAGAAATCTGCTGCCAAAGATGAGACCTGGACCTTGCAATTAGAACGTAATTAAATTCCAGTGACGATTCATGAACCATGATACAGCCACCCCTTCCCAGATCTCATCTGTCCCTGCAGACCTCAGGAAAGCAGTGACAACATGGTATGGTTGCTACACTACACAGATAACAGGCTGCAAAAACAGACAACCTGTTGAGTAAGCAGGTGCTGTTCCCACACAGCCTGCTTTCTGAACATAGCCACTCTTTCTAACCAACCCCTTATCATAAGAGAGAGCTGAGAATGATATTTTTCCATGCCCAGGGGGCAAAATAAATCAGACTTTGCCTGAAATCGAACACCATTTTGTTTTCTAGGGCCATTTTGATAATCATTTCTGCTTTGCCCAAAAAACACCACTTTTTGCAGAAAAGTACCATTTCAGTGGAAAATCGGTGACTTGTCATAACAACCTACAAGGTGGAAGCCGAAATGCATTTAGACCTGAAAAATTCATGGGGAATAACAACTTGTGAGTTAAACAAAAGGTGCAACTTATCTGTTGTCTGTTTGTGCAGATCTGTAACTCTGGGCATGGTGCCCGGCCTGATATGGAAGAAAAACACAATGATCTAATGCCAGGGGCTAAGACGCAAGGGGCAGAAACCACAGGGTCAGTGTCGCAGGCAATAATGAGTCTTAGCCTGAGTGATGAGACTTGCTGGGGTTGTTCAGGCAGCTGCGGGGTCCCCAGCTGAAGGCAGGTATATGCTGAGAAGTGGCCTTTCAAAGCAGCTGCGAGACAAGGGCAGCTTCATTCCGGTTCCCTTTCCAGCTATCTGCTCCAGCTGTTGTTCTCTCCTCTGCTGCGACTCCACCAACCCTTGCAAAATGCCCAGCAATAGCCTCGGCCTGATGTTACAGGAAGGGAAACTGAGGCAGGGGGAAAAATGAGGATCTGCACAGAGGCAAAGACCAGGCGAGTAGAAACAGCGACTCCCGGAGAAGCCTGGAGCCCCAGCTCCCAGTCTTGTGGGCTGATCGCTCGGCCCTGTGCAACGAGAATGAAGAGAACCCTGGCTCCGTGTGGCAACAACTAGAAAGGAAGGGGACATCTTTCCAAACCAGCAAGCACCGATGAGAAAACACTGCTTCTCTTTCTGACGCACTTACCTAAACCCCACAGGCTTGAATCAAACCCAGGCAAAAGCAGCCTTTTGCCCCCGATCAAAATCATACCTCCTCCAGTGCAGCTTGTAAATGAACCAAAGTGGGGGGGGCAAAGCCAGGAAGTGACCAAAGCCATTCTCTAAGTTCAGAGCAGAGTGAGGTGTAAGGCACTGCCCTGTAGCAGGTAGAAAAGACTTTCCATTAACATCTACCTGGTCAGCACACAGATAGCTTGGGAGGGAAGCTCATTGCAGAAAAGAAAGGTCTCTCATGAGGTCTGGGATCCTTACCACGAGCATCTTGTCTTGTAGGATCATAAGATAGCTGCACCCAACCTCCTGCAGAAGTCTGGGTAATCCACTGCCCAGGGCACAGGCCGGAGAGCCAGATCCTCTCCTGGACCCCTTGGACAACCTCTTTCTTGGTGCCTCTATTTCCACCATCTCTATTGAGCTCAATTATGCTGGATCAGTTGGGTACTGAATGCAGCTGACATCCAGACTTTCAGCTCCTACCTCCATCTTCACATCAAATCTTGCCAAGTATGCCCAGGGATGAATGCTACCTTCTTAAATGCAGCAGCAAAGAACCCCATAGGCATCCAAGTTGCCTACCTGGGGTCACGAACAAGACCGCCAGCTACAGGACTCCAGGTTCTCCCCTTTCCAGCGGATGGAGTCATTTCACTTGAGCGATACTGGTTTCAGAAGGGATCGATGCAGATACCCGCAGATCCCAAACCCACAGTTGTTCAGCCCTTTAAAGCAAAGACCTCAGGTCCCTTTTGGAAAGAGTGCCCCCAAGGTTCAGCCTCTTGGCTTTGATCCAGCCTTTGCATTCATCCCCTCCTCCATAAGTCCCTACGTGTTGAGCCCCTTAGCAACTGCATCAGCAGAAGTGGCATTTAATTCTCACACCATCAGCTTAAAAGCTTTCCCATTTTCTGCCCTTCCCTGACAAGGGGTTCTTGGTGCAAAGCAGCAATGGAAACTCCAGTCATTTTCATTTTCAAGACTTTTATTTTTAATAAAAGTGGCCCCATAGGGGCTTATGGGATCTTAGTACAAAATATAAAAACCTTCTCAAACAAATACAAAATAAAAAACACAGTAGAAAAAAAAATGCAGTATACCCGATTCATGTCTCAGCTTTTGGAGGCAGCAGCTGCACGGTTCCAGAGCTTGGCTCTGTCTAGTAACACTTAGGATATGCAGTGCTGGGTTAATACACAATAAAAGAATGAAAAAATCATAAAAGTGCTGGTCTCCTGTGTCTGGAGAGGGCAAACTAGCTGTTGCATTAAAGCCAGCAGCTCCCTCCCCACTCAAAAACCTTCCCAGTTGCTTTTGGGTTGAGCTTTTGGCTCTGTCATGGCATATATGGCCAAAGAGTGAGGCTTTTTCTCCCCAGATGCCTTTGGACAACACACAAATTTAAAAGTTATTTGGCACCATTAGATGAAGGTTTGGTCAAAGTGTCTTTGAGACTTTGTGCTTTGATAGCCAGGAAAGGGAATGCATGACAATTCAGTGGCTCAAGGGGGTTAACATTCTTCAGGCTGTACAATGCCATTGAGGAAGCCTCCGTGTCATCTGCAGAGGCTCATGGACCCAAGCAGTGCAGACTGGGATGGTTTTTTGTTTGTTTTTGTTTTTTTTTTGTTTTTTTGTTGTTGTTTTTTTAATACCATGGCTGTATCCACAGAAAAGGATGGAAAAATGAAATCCGAGTATAACAAACCCAAGACTGTCAGTGATTCTTCCCATCAACATTGTGGAGTTATAGCTTACATTTGTTGCGTAGATTCAGATAAAGTAAGTAAGATAAAACTTAAAAAAAAAACCCCAAAATCAGTTATGATACTAGTTTGAACTGATTTGGTGTCAAAGTTGAGCACCTGAAAGATGCTTGGACTTTAGTGTCCCATTTGCTTGTTATAACAAAAAGAAACAAACATGCAGGAAAAAACATAAATCTCTTGCCTACTGCATGAAAAAACAAGAACTTCCCCTTTTACAGGGCTGTTGCTTTCTTTGAGACTCTGAAAGGATGTTATCACTCCAGGATCAGAAGTCTTCCCTTTGCCAAGGGTTTTTAATCAAAGCCCCCAAAAAATTCTTGAATTGTCCAGCAAAGTTAAGCTCTTGGATGTAAGGCACAGGCTTAAGCAAAAGCAACAACCCTGCTGTGTTCATAATTTTACACAGTCCCCATTTACACACATTACATCTCCAGACACCCGGTGAATGAATATATGACATGTTCAGCCTGTCTTTGCTAGATCAGATTCAAGGCATTGTGATGGTGACCGTTCTGCTACAGGAACAGCTTCCAAATCTTTAGGAGCTAGAATCCAACAACTTTCTCCCTCAAGCCTCTCTCCTTCATAACTATTCAAATCAAGTGCTCGTCAAGGAGCAGATACCTTCCCCACATTACATGAGCCCCCCCCCCCCCCCCCC